GCGCGCGCGCTGCGCCGCACCCCGCCCCCGCCGCGTGGAGCCGGCCTGGAGCGCGCGTGCTCGCTATCACGACACGCGCAAGGGCTCTGAATCTCCAGATTATTCAAGCGCCCCTTCAACCCGCGCCCACGCTCCCACGTTCCCACGCTTGACCCTCTAGGCGGCCTAACAGCCTGCACTGCACGAAATGCTGCTAGCATAACTTGCTTTTTTCCTATCGGCCTCTTGACTTTGCTTCCACCCCTCCATTCCTAAGGACTGATTTGCTTTTTCTAAGCATCCCAAACTTTCTCCCATATATCCTGTCTCTGCTCCCCTTCCCCGCCTGCTCCAGGTCCAAACTATCAAGTCTAATCTGAGCATAGTCCTTTGTCTCCGAACCCGGTTGTCTGACCTTTCTCCCATTAATTCTTAATACTTTTTCATGCCACTACTTAAGTTAGTTACCTTGACTAGTGCCAAGTTCTGCACTTTGCTCTCTGCCTGCTCTCACATCAACTGTTTTGGTGTAACTGCGCCCCCTTATTCCAAATAAGATATTATATTGCAGGTAATTAATACAATCCTGATGCATTTCTTGAAACGTTATTTTACTAGTTTAGGGCTTTAACCTTGACTTTGAACGTTATGTTTGATAATGTTTAGTAATTTGGCTATCTATAAAGAAGGAAAAATGACCAAACCCACTTCATAAACTTCTTGTGAGGATTACATGAATTAATACATGAAAATTACTAGGAAGAAAGTTTATCATATTGCAAACATTCAAGGAATGTTATAATATTTGTATTCATTTCTTAAAATGGATGTTAATCTAATGTCTCTCCCACAGTATGTAACTTAGAGAACCTTGTACCCACCATGACCAAGGATGGTTGGACCAGGCAAAGAAGTAAGAATAGAACTTAAAAGGAAATGAAATCTGATCATAAGGACTTAATGTAGTAATTTTTTAAAGGATCATAGAATTGAAAGCAAATCAGAGATGGTTAAAATTATGGTTATCAAAAATGAAAAATCAATGAGAATAACAAAGAGTTTAAACTTTTTGTTATGTATGGTATGAGTTTAAACACATACCATACATGCTGCGTGCACTTCCCTACCTGTATGTCGTCTACCAAACTACAACATCTGTCAAACTACAGCCAAAGATTCCGAGAAGAAGATTCTTTGAGCACCACAAATATGTGTATTCTTTTCCAAAAGGAACTATCAGACAATTCTAATACATTGTTACTTACCTACCCTTTGTTCACTGGAGTATGCATATCCTGACTCTATTTGTGGAGGAGAAAAATGAAGCCAAGAAAGAAAAAAAAATGGATCTGCCAAAAGATGTTGCTAATTATTGAGATCTCGGTTTCTCTGACCCTCATCACCACCCTGCTAGTTTCAGAACTCCAGCCTCCTGTGATGTATGCTTGCTTCCAAATAAAACAATGCCTGGAAGTCCTCAGGGGATATCCCACATATGCTCAACTGTCCCATCAGCCACTGCACAGCTTCTCAGCTTCTCCTCTCCCTGCCTTAGTCAGCTCTTAGAATTACTGGACTCATATCCCTGCCCTGGCATCTCTAAGTCCTATGCATCTCTCAGATTCCACCACTTCTTCTGTCAAGCATGCTGCTTGCATTGGGTACTACTGACCCCTCCTGTCTGTGTGTCATCTCCCTTTTGGACACCACTGTCTCCCACAGAGCACTGCCCTCCTGGGAACTAAGGTACTATGCAGAAAACCAAAGTAGAACAATTGTATTGTACCCTGCCACCAAGTTTTGCAGAATAGCTTTCTTGCAATTTCATATTTATGGCTCTTATTTTCCTCTCCATGTCTCATGCCCATGTTGTGTCTGAAAATGAGTTAAAAAAAAAAACCTGCAATAATAAACTCAGACAAGGCTTTGTTTCTAAAAACAAAAAATTAATTTGGGAAAATTGGCTTTTTTGGTTTGAAAACCTATGATTTTAAACAGTTGCTTGGATTGGTGTAATCAGCAACACAATCAGAATATGTCACCCAAAGAACACGCTAGTACTGTTCCTTAATAGCCACACTGTTCCCCAAGCCCTAACCTTTGGAAACCTCTGATATGTTCTCCATGGTTATGTGTTTCTCTTTGTGAGAATTCATATTCATGGAATTATGCAAGATGTGACAGGCAGGAAACGGATTATTCACTCACCATTATGTCTTTGAGATTCATTTGGTCGAATGTGTCAATATTTCTCTTTTACTATCTGATTGTTTGCAGCACATTTAATCTAGTCACCCACTGACGGATATTTGGTTGGTTCTCGGTTTTTGTCCAGTGTGAATAGATATTCTATAGACATTTACACGCAGGGTTTTGTACAGAAAAACGTTTTCAAATTAATTGGACTAACGTGTATGCTCGCACGCACACACACACAAGCACCTAAATAGAGGCTCCAAGATTTACGATGGGGTTACACCTAGATAAACCCATTGTAGATTGAAAATTTCATAAGCACAAAATACATTTAATACACCTAACCTACTGCACCTTATGGGTTAGCAGCACAGTGCACTATAAAGTATCAGGTGTTTACATTTGTGATTTGATTGATAACTGAGGCTTCTGTGGACCAAGATTGCGAGAAGAGTTCTTCAAAGAAAAAATTCAAAATTCGAAGTACCATTCCTACTAAATGCATATTTCTTGTGCCGTTATAAATAAAATATTAAAAAAATAAGTGGAACCATCATAAGTTAGGTACTGTCTGTGTGAGTAAGCATATATGTGTGTGTGTAAAATGTATATAATATCCTGTATATGGCATTATCATAGACTTGTGCTATAATATTATTATTTTCCTTTATGATTTGTTGAGAATCTTTTCAATTGTATATTTGCCATCTGTTTATCTTTGGGGTAAAGTTCATGTATTTTGCTTATTTTTAATTGGGTTGTTGAATTTTAAGAGTTCTTTATATATTTTATGTAGAAGTATTGATATGTGCTTTGAAATATTTTCTGCCGAGGTAAGATTTGTCTTTTAATTTTTTGAGTGTCTTCTACATAGCAGAAGTCTTTAATTTTAATGAAGTCTAACTTAAGATTTTTTTTCTTTCATGAATCATACTTTTGGTATTTGTATCTAAAAACATCACCCAAAGTAGGACTACATATAATTAGTTCTGTTTTCTTCTAGAGTTCTGTAGTTTTACATTTGTGATCCATTTTCACTTAGTTTTTGTAAAGAGTACAAGGTCTCTGTCTCCTCCTCCTCCTTCTCCTTCCTTCTTTCTATCTCCTCCTCCTCCTCCTCTTCTTTTCCTCTTTATCCTCCTCCTCCTCCTTTCTTCATTATTGTATGTGGTATGTAAAAGTTCAGTTAGTTTAATATTGTTAGTTTTTAAAAAAACACTCTTTGTCTATTTAATTACCCTTGCTCCTTGCCCAAGATCAGTTGACTATGTTTGGGGAGTCTATTTCTGAGTTCTCTCTATGTAAGTGTACATATTCTTTGATTATTATAGCACAGTGTCTTGATTACTATAGTATAGTAAGTCTTACAGCATTCCAACTTCATACTTCCTCTTCAATATTGCATTGGCTGCTCTAGTCTTTTGCTTTTTCACTTAAATTTTAGTATGAGTTTATACATATCTATAAAATAGCTTTCTGGGATTTGGATTCTCATTCTGTAGAATCTGTACATTGAGTTTGAAAGATTTGACATCTAAACAATTCAGTCCTCCTATCCATGAATATGAAATATATCACCATTCATTTATATCATCCTTGATTTTTCCAGCAATGTTTTATAGTTTTCTACATAACTCCTATACATACTTTGTGCATTTGTATGTTGTAAATGGTATTCTTTATTTTAAGTTTCAATTTTTCATTGCTGGAATGTAGAAGCACAATTGACTTTTGTTTATTAATCTTGAATCTTACGACCTTGCTATACTTGCTTATCAGTTTCAGGATTGTTTTTGTGGGTTATCCACAAAGCATATAATATTTGCTGTCTTCTAATAGAGACAGTTTTCTTTATTTTCCCCTTTACAATCAATGGCCATTTTATTTCTTTTTCTTGTTTTACTGGACTAACTAGAATTTCTAGTATCATGTAGAACAGAAATGGTGTAAGGACAGTCTCACCTTCTTCCTGACTTTAGGGGGGAGCATTCAATTTTTTACCACTAAGTATTGCATATCAGCAGGGTTTTTGTAATTTATTTGATCAAGTTGAAGAAGTTCTCCTTTGTTTCTATTTTGCTGAGAGTTTCTATCATTCATCAATTTGAGGTTTTGTCACATGTTTTTATCTGCACCTATTGATATGATTATATGATTTTTATTTTGGTGATGTGTTGGATTGCATTATTTTCCAAATGCATGATCAGATTTATGTACATAAATTCTACTTGTGATTGATAACTGGTTTATACATTGTTGCATTTAGTTTGGTAATATTCTAAGGGCTATTTTAGTCATGAGAGATGTTGTTGTATAGTCCTCCTCTTTTGTAATTTTTTTCTTGTCTCGTTTCTAGATAATGCTGACATCATAGAATGAATTAAAATGGTCTCTATTTCTATTTTCTATAAGAAATTGTAAAGAAATGACAACATTTCTTCCTTACATATTTGGTACAATTTGCTAATGAAACCAACTGGGTCTTGTGATTTTTTAGAATGTTATTAACTATTGATTCAATTTTAAGTTGGGAATAGAGTGATCTGTTTGTTCTTATGTGCAT